CCGACTTTCCTGTATTTCCCTTTCCAGTTATACCCATGTCCTGCGTCCTGACTACCATAGTCTGGTTTTTTTTCGTTGTTGTTTTGTAAAATAATCAACGAAAACGAGGAATAAAAAATATAACAAATGAAAAGTATGTAAGAAATAAATAATAAAGCAAAGACAATGCTAGCCAGTCGGTAGAACCGATTTTCATCTTCAATTTGCTAAACATTCATGAGGAGATCAGCGATAAACCACAAGGAGATCTAATAAACACTTAATTCTATTAATATTTAACATTTATTGCATTCGAATTTAATTCTATTGCAATTTTTATAGGTTAAAAAATTAATTAAAACCTTTTGTTTTAAGTTTTTAATTAAGAATAAATAATAAATTTATAAAATGTAATTCTATTTATATTTACAATATAGTTCTATTAAAATTTAATATTAGTTAAACAAAAAAACATTTTTTATACAGTAAAAATTAATTAAGGATAAAAAAATCAAGGTAAAAATTCAATTTTGAACACGTCATAGCATTTAAGATTTCAATATTTCAATAAAAATTATGATAAATTCTAAAAAACCCAATTCAAATCCATAAAAAAATCAAAATATATTTTTAAAATTTCGAAAAAACTTCCCCTTCCTGAAATATATAAAGTTTTCCCAGAGATCAGTGATTGTCTTCACAGTTTTCTGGTTTGTCACTGGCTTTGCATTTTCCCCTGCCCTACAAAAAACATATTTTCGAGCATTCCATCTTGAACATGTGCTTGGTTTATTCAACAACCCCTCAGCACTTCACCCTCTTTCATTTATTTCCCATTTCATTTTCTTTTCTTTTTTTTTTGGACAGTCACAGAGTTCGCGAAATCACAGCCACATACAAGTTCTCATAAAAAAAAAAACGAAAGAAAGTGAAACAAAAAATAAACAAAGTACCAAAAAAATGGAAACAAGAAACAAAAGAGGGGATGTGGGGAGGGTTGCCACATTTTTACATGTGGTGACGGTGACGGTGACGTCGACATCACCGGCGGCTGACGGACCAGAAAATAAGCAAGAACTCCCACACACACACACACACACACACACATATATATACACCTCAGCAGGCCATCTCATGCCACGGGACATTGCCTCATTCCACCGGTCAGTGGTGGCCACTTTCACCACTTAAAAAAGCCAAGTTTTATATTTAAAAAAATTGATTTTGAATTAAAAAAATTTTTAAATACTAAATTTTAAATGGTAACTAATTTAAGGTTTAAAAAATAGACAAGCTTAATATTAAAAATAATTGATTTTGAATTTTAAAATTTTAAAATATTAAATTTTAAATATTAATTCATTTAAGGCGGGTTTTTTAAGGCCACTGTTGAGTATTCTGACATTTAAGATTTTTTATTAAATTTTAAAATAGAATTTAATGAGCTATAAAGTTAAAAAATATATATTTTAAGGATAAAATCACCTTAATTTTTAGTTATTAAACAAACCCTTATATACGTTTTTTCTATATTTGGGAATTTTAAGCAAGATCTGGTCTTTATTAAACTATTTTTGTGTACTGTTTAATTTACAATACACAAATTAATTTTAATAAAATCAAGGTCTTTCATTAGTTAAAAACTATAATTACTTAAGAAATTCTATCAGATAAACCTCATATATACCATATATTTTAAAAATTTGACCCAAAAATAGCTAATTTGTCAGAGCTTCTCAAAAAACAACCCACTTCACCTGCGCTTCTGTTCCACCTTGTCCGTCACCCGTTCTGGTTCCGTTATGTTCTCTTCCGCTGATGTTGATGTTTTTGGCGTGCGGTAAATGGCAAGGCCGAGTCGGTGGTTGTCCCCACACCCACACCCACACCCACCCACTTCCACTTCCACTACCTCCTTACTTGCAAGCAAGTGGAAGCAGGCACCGCGCAAATGTTACAAATATTTCAAATATTTAAAATGGCACGCATACACGGCACATATGCGAGTGTATAGGAGTGTGTGTGTGTGTGTGTGCGGTTTGTACAAGTGTGCTTTAGAGAGACGGGGGGCAAAGGTGAGGCTAGGGGGTGGTAAGGATGGCAAGGTGGAGGCTGAAGGGGTCGTGGTGGCCCTAAAAGTTTCTCACCGAGACCTTTTTGCATTATTAATGGCAAATTTCAATTAGCCTTTTGCACTAAACGCAGCCAGGCGAGCGAGGGTAGCTCGAAAAGTTTTGTAAAAAAAATTTAAATAAAAAATAATAATAAATAATAATAAAAAAATAGGAATAAAATATAATATTAAAAAATAATAATAAAAGATAATAATAAATGTTAATAAGATTTAGTTAATATTATTTTTTTTATAAAAATTTAAAATAAATATTTTATATAAAAATATATTAATATTAAAATTAATATTTTTTTTATAAAAATAATTATAATATACCTTTTTTTTGTTACAAATTATTCACACCGAATAATATAATTAAATTAAATAAATTACTAAAAATGAAGAATCAAAAATAAAAATAAGAAATTGTGTTTGTTATTAATTTTATTAATTCATTTAGAATTTTTTTTTTTTTGAATTATTCTATTAATTAATAGAAACTGCACTTACCCCTCTCGCTAATGGTAAAATTTTGTGTGTTTTTGTTTCGTTTGGCATACAAGTCAAAAGCTGAAAGTCAATTCCAGCGCAGTTCCCTCGGCGAGTGTGTGTGTTTGTGTGTGTTCACCTGTGGACATATTTTAAAGCTGAGTAGAGGCAACGTCAGGAGGCGGGAATTCCCCACAATCCTGTGTGTGTATAGGTAAGCACTTCCGCTTCCGCTTTCATGTTTCCGCCTCTTGCCGCTAAAAATATGAAATGAAAGATAAGCAAACCCAGAAACTGTAACCAAAATCTGCTTGGCATTCGTCGTGCTCCCATAAAAGGTAAACTTATGCCACGCCCACATACACATACACACACTCACACAAACGAATCTAAATTATTTAGGGATAATTTGAGTGTGCAGCATTTTGGTTATGATTGCTCCTGCTGCTGCACTCATATTTACATATGTCCACCGACGAGCTAAAAGAATGAATGAAAACAGAGCCACAAATGTAACAAAAGGAAAATTCAGTTTCGGGTATACAATTGAAGGGGGAAAACGCAAAAAGGGACACAGGACACAGGGCGGAGGACGTAGAAATGTCTTTGGTTATTTTGCGGTTTGTTGGCCGCCGTCTGTGTATGCGAATGTATGTTTCCCTTTTAATGACAGCCAGTTGCCAGCAAATGTACACTGTCAACAATATTCTAGTCTCACTGTGATCCTTTACTGTATACTCTTTCTAGGAATATCCTTTAAATGTAGACTTTTTGGTGGATAAAATGGGGAATCTTCAAGCCAAAAAATACAATCAGAAATATATATTTAAAAATATATAAAAAATATGGAAAATTGAAAAGCCAAAAGACCAATTTAAAGTAGAAATATATTAAATATATTTAAAAAAAATTATTTATAAATAAAATAACTCCTTACCATAGCTTATTTTCAAGAGTATTTCCAGCTTCGGTTCTTGGTTCTGCTCCACAGAATCCTGGCCAGTGCCCTTGGCCATCACCGTTGTCGCTGTCCTTGTCCTCGTCATCGTCATCGTCATCGTAGTCCTCATCTTGTCGTGGCTGTGCGGCTCCTGCGGCAAATTAAAATTAGTTGTTTACTTTGTGCAACATAAACAAATAAGCGCGCCGTCCAGAGGCCCACCTCAGCCGGATGATGCTGATGCTGAAGCTGAAGCTGATGATAGGATCTGTTGGGTTTAGACCTGCTCTCGGTCTGCTCTCCGTTAAGTTGAGTCTATCCAAGCATTAAAAAAGAAATCATTTATCAAAGCGACAGGAGAGAGTGGGCACTGCAAACTGCAGGAAAATGCAAATTGAAATAAGAAGGAGCAATCCCAAAAATTGAAATCTGTCATAATTCGTAGGAAACAGCACTTGAAGTCGACACTTTAGGTTTTTATCTATATCAGGGATGGCAGAAAGTATTATTTTTTCGATGGTAAATTAATATTTTATTTATTATTATTATTAATATTTATATTTTATCGATAATCTAACGTTTTGATATAATTTTTTGTGATTAATCGATATTTTTTGATATATCGAATTAGTTTAATCGGAAAAAGAGACAAGTAAATGAATATTAATTAACTTAGTTTTCTTTGGTATAAAAATACACCCTGTATCGATAAAACTGATATTTTAACCTCAAATGCAATATTTTTCGATATTTGAAATACGATATTGGTTAAAAAATGTTATATTGATCGATATTTAGACACTGTAAAGATAGTTTTGATATTTTAACCTTAAATGGAATATTTTTTATATATTTAAAATAGGATATTGAATAAAAACAATATTTTGGTTGATATCGATATCATTCATATCGATAATATTGATATTTCAACCTTAAAAAATATTTCTTGATATTTTAAAATACGATATTGGATAAAAAATATGATATTGGTCGTTATATAGACTTTGTTTGGATAATATCGATATTTATACCTTAAATATAATATTTTTTGATATTTAAAATCCAATATATCTAGTGTTACAATATTTTAAATACGATATTGAGCTTTCTATTGTTGTCGATATAGCATATAGGACTATATCCCTCGTTATACATCTCTAAAATATGTATTTATATATCTTTTCAGGCTATTATCTTGGCATCTACTTAATTCCCTATTAATCCCTATAAAAAAATTTCCACAATGCGGCAAACAGTTCTGATTATTCTCAGATTCTAGCAACAAACAGATAACACCATCTTATCTCTGTACACTTCTGGAAAATCTGGTAAAAATCTCAAGTACCATCGATATACTATTTAACTTTAATTATGTTGCCAAAATATATATGCTAAACGCTTAAGGAAACTATAATTTTATACTGATAAAGCCTGTTTATCTAAGCCTTATTAAGGTGCCAAGTACAAAAGTCAATAGACTCCATTAGAAGCCATTTATTGGGCATAACACGATACTCAATACGGTATTTATAAAGAGAGCTCCATTGAAATCTTCTTTGAACTTATAATTTTGATATCAAGTCTTTTGCTAGCCAAATGGGTTTTATCTTTTCACCTTGATAATTTTATTCTGGCATCTTAGCTGGAGTTTCCGTTCACTGCATCTGACCGTACTGCGACAGATCCTGCTGCAACTGGTACTGGATGGCCCGCTGCTTGGCCTTCTCGTAGATGGGCATCAGCTGCTTGGTCTCGCCCAGCTGCTTCAGCAGCTCCATTATGAAGGGCAGATAGTTGTGGCGACGACGCTGATTCTCCTGCCGATAGCGTCGCTTCTTTTCCATCTCGAACTTGACATAGGTCCTCAGGTTGGCTATCTCCGCCTGCCTTTCAGCCAGACTAAGCGAAGGCGGTGGCTGGTGGACAAGCAATTGGATTTGACGCTCATAGCAACGCTGGCGATCCGAAACGACGGCCATTAGATTGAAATGAATCTCTCCAACGCTATAGCGTTGCATTCGGGCCTCGATAATGGGACGAACCACGTCCAGCCAGTTTTGACCACGTTTGATTTCGGCCAGATCGATGGGACCTTCATGAAGACCATCCAGCTCATAGAGACGTCCATTGATGGGCATATAACCCACAAAGTGATACACATCATCGTCCATCGGTGACTGCGGCAGTTCCACCTCAAAGTGCACGGGCCGGGCAAAGGAGTTGTGCACCGTTCGGATCTTTTCCTCATTGCCCAGGCACAGACCACGACTCTCCGGGTCCATGCTCTGGCAGAATTGCCTGAAGCCAGTCAGCGTTTCGCCCAAATCAATATCCGTGTGACGGAGATTGAGCAGAATACTGAGCAGGGCCTGGGTGGCGCAGGCATTAGGGATTACCTGGCGGGCAAAGAACACATCCTTGCAATTTCTAACCACCTGCCCGTCCGGCTTGTCGTCCTGCACCCACTTGAACAGAAAGATCAGGCCATGTATGGGCTCCAGCAGATGGAAGGCATGAGCGTTCAGTGTCCAGATCTCCTCCACCTGGGCACCGGTGCAGCCAAAGCCGCGTATTAGCTCGGTGAAAACACCCGGATCGCTCTCGATGAGACACCAGGAGTCCTCCGGTGTGGTGACCTTGGTAACGGCTTCGGTGTTGTTCGGTTGCATCGAGTCCTCCACATTTGCCATGACTTTGAGAGCTATTTTTTCTTCTCGTAAATGTTGTTGTCGTAGATGTTCAGCAACGATGGGCTCCAACAAATAAATTTTTTTGATTTTGTTTTCAAGTGACAGCAGCACGAAAGGTAGGTTGGACATTTTAGGCGGAGAAACATTGATGGTTTTCAATAAACAAATATTAAATAAATATTTTATAATGAAATGTACATAAATATATAGGTTTTATGATTTTACTTACTTGATTAGTAATGTTGTTAAAACGGTTATAGTTGCCTTAAAATTTAAATTGTTCTAAAAATGTTAAAAACATCGATATATTGATATTTCAATAGATAATTCTCCGCTTTAAATGAGTATTTTTACGTACAAATTAGTGTGTATAGTATTTATGCCTATTTGATTAATTGACTGAAGGATGATTTCATTTTCCAACACACACACACACACAACATTTTCCCAGTCGGGTGACTCAGGAAAAGGGTTCACATTGAAAATGATTAGATTTAATATTTAATAATTTAATAAAAAAGCTCAATATCAGGGTTAATAATTTAAAAAGTTAGCATTTTTTTTTTTTTTTTGCTTTATCGATAATATTGTTTAAATAAATTAAACAGAATATCGATTAATTATACATATAATTTAATTATTTTTGATATCTATAAATTTATATTTTATTTATATATTTTTTTCGAACTATTTTTTATCTGTTTTTGTACTATTCATTTATTGATTTCTTTTTATCTATTTATAATCTTTTTTACCCTTTTTTTCAACCTGAATATGTATATTTTCTTTTCTATTTATTTTAATTTTCCTTGGAAATTTAAATGCCTAAAAATAAACTTTAATTTAAACACTTTTAAGGCCTTTGAGCCAAAAATACTTTCTTATCGCTCCCGCCTTACGTTAATAACTCTTATCAATGCTTTCTTTCCCAGAAAACCCCCTTTAGTGACCACTATAAATTATAATTTTACTTCTTAATTATGCTTTTATTATTCTGCGACTTTTTATAACCCCCAAAGATTAAGATGGAACGCAGACAAAAAACTTTCCCTTGTTTATTTCACGGAAGTCAAATAAAGTTTATCAAATGGCAAACTCATATGGCTAAGCCGAAATTTGAACTAGATTTTAGATCTAGAGAAATATTATTTCAAGCTTTTAGTTCCATTTCCGTTAAGGATTCCTTCTCATTTCAGGGAAAAGGTAACTCCGTTCTCCGTTCGATATCCTTTGAATGAATGAAGCCCTAATGAGCCGCAATCGATCAACTTTGCTGATATGTGTGTGTGGCACACCCTAATGCTCTCATATATCCTTCTCAGTGGTCGCAGGGGGGGGGGGGAGATACTCAAAGCAGGGGCGTGGCAAATGGCGTTGCATTGCCAGGGGATTAACAGCCAGTGCCAGTGGCTGCCCGAGGGATAATAAGTGCATTGGAGCATCAAATCAATAAAACGCGCACACATCGCCCACGGTTGCTACACACGCACACCCACACACACACATGGGACACTGGACAGTGTGCCTCATACCCACACCAAACTACGCCTGGCACCGAAGAATTCGCTGCATCAGTGACTGCGAATTGCGAAACATTGTTAATTTATGCAAATTTAGCCAACGCCGCCGCCGCCGCCTCGCTTTGTGCAACGCCAATGAGGCAAGAGAGTCGAGCCGCGGAGCTCCACTGGAAGCCACCGCTGCACCACTGCAACCGCCATCGCCATCGTCATCGCCAAAGCCGCGACCGCAGCGCCAACAACATTAACGGAGAGGAGCACCAAGCCATAGAGAGAGAGAGAGAGCGAGGAGGAGGACTCGACTCCTGGCCGAAAAGGGAGCTCGTTGCGCCCTTGCATAATTTTCGAGCCACCCAATGCTGCCGCCTTTGCCTCATTTGCATGACTTCTACTCACCCAACCTCCCCCCTCCCTTCGGGCAGATGCGGAACGGGAGCCGACCTCAAAGCCTATTTGGGTCCACTCCAGCCAATATGCAAGTGCCGGTTGCCAGTGGGTGCCGCCTGAATTAGCACACTCACCTAGCCAGAAAGTTTCTCATCGATGGCCACTCTAGCAGTCATAATATTAAATACAACACTCGACACTGACAGAAAATGGGTTTTTTAAATAATTTAAAAAATTAATAATTATGAGTAGCACACATACAACACCACATATATGTAAATAAGCACCTATGAAACCACACACACACTCACATATGCTCGCAACTGATCATAACCGTGGCCGATAGCCGTCACTTCATTCAGAAAATGCTAAAACCAGTTGGGAATTACAAGTGCACTCGGGGAGAATTTTTATAAAATTCTTTTGTTTTTGTTTGTTATTAAAAAAGGCTGCCAAAAAGCTTTTAAAATTAACCACAAAAATTATATTTATGTTGTCTTAATTATAGATTTTTTTTAGTTGAGGGAACTTTTTAAAGTATAAAAAAATATTTTTTAGATTGATAAAATTATAATTTAATTTTAATAATAATTGTATAAATGTACCAAATATATAAAAATATTTTTATGAGAGAAAAACTTGTTATACAATTATAAAAATAAATAAACCCTATCCTAAACTACTTACAAGTTATTATACTATTCCAAGGAATTATAAATAATCAAAAAATACCTATTACTACCATTACTTTATTTACTTTCAGTGTATACATTTTTGATAATACGAATATATATGGCTAACTGTATTTATTGTATTGTCTAGACACACGAAAACCGCAATGTGACTGCGCCTGCATTGAATTTACCATTTTTCATTTTTATTATATATATATTTTGTATTTTTTTTACAACCTGGCTTAACCGCATTAACGGAAAAAAATAAAACTGAAAAATAAAGTAAAGCAAATTCCACTTAATTGTTCAATTTCATGGAATTCACGTGGCCAAAGGGCTCAAAGGGCATATAATATAGTATGTATGTAGGCAAAGTTCAAAGGGTGGCAGGTCTCCATGGGATCCATGACAGATGTTAAGCGCACCTTTCAACCTCCGGGGAGTAGAGTGTAACGTGTATCCATTTCATATGATAATTGAGGGCTTCAAGCGAAACTTGGATTTCTTAATTGAAACATTAAAATAACGCCGGGTTTTTTTTTTGTTTTCATCTGACTTCAATGCAAACTAAAATATGGGATATGCCCTAATATATATATAAAAAATCTGAAATCTGATTACCTTAACCCCTGATTTACTCTTCAACAAGTCTTAAACTGCAGCATTTTAAGCTCTACGTTTGCAAATGCATTATGCAATATCTCTGAGAGATTACACTTTGATTGATATTTGAACTTCAGCCAAGTGTCCGGCCTCCGATTGTAAATTCCAAGGGCTGCGGTTATACAATATATATAGTTTGGATATATCTCTCACTCTACCTTATCTCAGCGCGACAAGATCTGTCCCCAAATGTGATGTGCATTTCAGACAGTAACCCACCTCTTATCGGGTTGATAAAGATGATGTTAATGATGATGATGATGAAGATTCGCCTGCGTCATTTGGCGCGCTAGGGAACTGCACTCCGAGATGATGACTCTTTGCCGTTTTGGGCGACTGATGACCCCACCTCGACCGGAACGGGATTGAGTGAAATTAACTCCAAAAACAACAGAGAGATAGTATAGAGAGAGAAATTGGGCCTGTTCCTCTACGTGTTTATTTATCTTTTGCCGAGGTGCAAATAAAGCAAAGACACGAGTCAACGGAAATGCGCAGCCCGCTTTATCAACATTTGCCTTGACGTTAAAAAAGCTGCCTGGCCGAGATTAAGATTACGTATGTATATTTTTTGGTAGTAGAAGTCAAAACAATTGGCTGCCGGGAAAGAATGTTAAGATGTTAGAGATAGCAAAGACAACTGAGTCATCAACATCATCATCATCAGTTATCATTAACTATTTTTTTTTTAAATAAGGAACATAGCTTTTAATGGGAATGAGTGATTGATCTTATATTCTTAGGCTAAACCCCATTTTTAAAAAAGCATAAATGGGTATTTGGTGAGTCTTGTGGTTCACAGAGCTTAGTTCCTTAAGAAATTCTATTTAAATTTAGCTTTAAATGGGGTTTAGTTATAGATTTTTTATTCGGAGGCTCCTTGATTCCATTCAAGTGCCCCTCCCTTGCTTACAATCTTTAACCTCATATCAAATTGCTTTCTTTTTGGCTCTTTCTCTGGTATTACCTCCGCCGCAATATCATAAATTGGTTTAGCCGGTTGAGGCTCTTATCAGGAAGGGGGGACAAACACTAGCGATAATCGTAACGTATTTGGCTAGCGTCACCACCACCACCACCACCAAAAGCGAATCTTCTGAAGATTTTGCTTGCTTGTGGGGAAGAAGCTGCGAGGCGATAATTTCGCATATAAAGCCGGGAGGTTGGCGTACAGAGGATAGTAACGATTCTTCATTCGAACCAAACACATCCCAAACACGACGACAACGACAACACGATGACAACGAACCGATCCGCCAGATTTCTGGTGTTGCTAGTGGTAATTGCATAATACAGTGAATCGAAAAAATAAACGTGCATCGAAGAATAAATATTATATTCGATTCAATTCGATATCAGTGCTAAAAACTATATATTTAATTTTTTTTTGTTTTTTGTTTTACTGTCTTTACTGACGAGTTGTAAATATGTATATATATATATATTTTATTGGCACTTGGATACACGCACACATGCCTCGCTAAAAACCACAATCCGATAATATCAACCGAATCCGAATCCGAAACCGTAGCTACCGGGACTCTTGCTACTTTGGATAACGTTCAAAGCGCTCGGCGACCAATCGAAAGTATCCTATGCAAGTGAAGCTAATGAAGCAGTGACAAACAGTGCACAGTGCGATCCCCCTTTCCTGGATGGATCCCAATTCCACTAACCTGCTCTCTCCTCTCTCCGCTTTCCCTCTTGCAGCTAACCTCGCTGGTGGCCAGCCATCAGGCGAATGCAGCCGCCGCGGGACTCAAGTGCGGCGGCAAGACTGCCGTTTGTGTGGGTCCGCTCTCGTATCAGGACTGCCTGGACGATGTCACCACTGGACCAGTGATTTCCTGCGAGCCCAACACCCGCTGCGTCACCGAGGGCCTGCAGATCTGTGTGCCAGTAAAGTCGGCCGCCGCCGAGGCACCCACAGCTGCCGTGGCCAAGATGGTCACCATCACCGATAGCCCCGTCAGCGAGTCCGCTCCGCTGGTGGATGCCGCCAGCTCTGGTGCTGTCGCCGGTGTAAGTGAGATCTCCACCGAAGGACCGAGTGTTGCATCTAGCGTCGCCGCCGAGTCAAGTGCTGCTCCGGAGGTGACAACCGCTGCACCGGCTGAGACCACCCAGGTGCCTGCTGAGACCACCACCCAAGCTGCCATCGAGGAGACCACCACCACCCTTCCCGGCGAGGAGACAACCACCGACGCTGCCTGGGACTCCAACGTTCCCGCGGACACTACTCTGGCCCCCGGTTCGGACGGAACTAACCCAACCATCGACCCCAACACCCCCCTGAACCCCAATGCACCCGAAGGATCTACTAACGAACCCGGTTTGGTCGAAACCACAAATCCCGCTGAAACCACTGACGCCCCCGCAACCACTGCTGACCCGAACGCTCCGGAGGTGACGACTGTCGCCCCTGGAACACCTGCCGATGTCTCGACTGCCGCTCCCGGATCTCCTGTCGAGAGACCAACCGCTGCACCAGGATCTCCTGTCGAAAGACCAACCGGTAAACCTGGAACTCCGCCTAATGTCACGACCGCTGCCCCTGGAGCTCCTGTTGAGGGATCTACCGCCGCCCCTGGAGCTCCTGTTGAGGGATCTACCGCCGCCCCTGGAGCTCCTGTTGAGGGATCTACTGCTGCCCCTGGAGCTCCTGTAGAAGGATCTACTGCTGTCCCTGGTGCTCCTGTTGAAGGATCTACTGCTGCCCCTGGTGCTCCTGTTGAGGGATCTACCGCCGCCCCTGGAGCTCCAGTTGAGGGATCGACTGTTGCCCCTGGAGCTCCTGTTGAGGGATCTACCGCCGCCCCTGGAGCTCCTGTTGAGGGATCTACCGCTGCCCCTGGTGCTCCTGTTGAGGGATCGACTGCTGCCCCTGGAGCTCCTGTGGAGGGATCTACCGCCGCCCCTGGAGCTCCAGTTGAGGGATCGACTGCTGCCCCTGGAGCTCCTGTTGAGGGATCTACCGCTGCCCCTGGAGCTCCTGTTGAGGGATCTACCGCCGCCCCTGGAGCTCCTGTTGAGGGATCGACCGCTGCCCCTGGTGCTCCAGTTGAGGGATCGACTGCTGCCCCTGGAGCTCCTGTTGAGGGATCGACCGCTGCCCCTGGTGCTCCTGTTGAGGGATCTACCGCCGCTCCTGGAGCTCCTGTTGACGGATCTACCGCTGCCCCTGGTGCTCCTGTTGAGGGATCTACCGCTGCCCCTGGTGCTCCTGTTGAGGGATCTACCGCCGACCCTGGAGCTCCTGTTGAGGGATCGACCGCTGCCCCTGGTGCTCCAGTTGAGGGATCGACTGCTGCCCCTGGAGCTCCTGTTGAGGGATCTACCGCTGCCCCTGGTGCTCCTGTTGAGGGATCTACCGCTGCCCCTGGAGCTCCTGTTGAGGGATCTACCGCTGCCCCTGGAGCTCCTGTTGAGGGATCTACCGCCGCCCCTGGAGCTCCTGTTGAGGGATCGACCGCTGCCCCTGGTGCTCCAGTTGAGGGATCTACCGCCGCTCCTGGAGCTCCTGTGGAGGGATCTACCGCTGCCCCTGGTGCTCCTGTTGAAGGATCTACTGCTGCCCCTGGTGCTCCTGTTGAGGGATCTACCGCCGCCCCTGGAGCTCCTGTTGAGGGATCGACCGCTGCACCTGGTGCTCCAGTTGAGGGATCTACCGCTGCCCCTGGAGCTCCTGTTGAGGGATCGACTGCTGCCCCTGGAGCTCCTGTTGAGGGATCGACCGCTGCCCCTGGTGCTCCTGTTGAGGGATCTACCGCCGCCCCTGGAGCTCCTGTTGAGGGATCGACCGCTGCACCTGGTGCTCCAGTTGAGGGATCTACCGCTGCCCCTGGAGCTCCTGTTGAGGGATCGACTGCTGCCCCTGGTGCTCCTGTTGAAGGATCTACCGCTGCCCCTGGTGCTCCTGTTGAGGGATCGACTGCTGCCCCTGGAGCTCCTGTTGAGGGATCTACCGCCGCCCCTGGTGCTCCTGTTGAAGGATCGACCGCTGCCCCTGGAGCTCCTGTTGAGGGATCTACCGCCGCCCCTGGTGCTCCTGTTGAAGGATCTACCGCTGCCCCTGGTGCTCCTGTTGAGGGATCGACTGCTGCCCCTGGAGCTCCTGTTGAGGGATCTACCGCCGCCCCTGGTGCTCCTGTTGAAGGATCTACCGCTGCCCCTGAAGCTCCTGTTGAGGGATCGACCGCTGCCCCTGGAGCTCCTGTTGAGGGATCTACCGCCGCCCCTGGAGCTCCTGTTGAGGGATCGACCGCTGCCCCTGGTGCTCCAGTTGAGGGATCAACTGCTGCCCCTGGAGCTCCTGTTGAGGGATCTACCGCTGCCCCTGGAGCTCCTGTTGAGGGATCTACCGCCGCCCCTGGAGCTCCTGTTGAGGGATCGACCGCTGCCCCTGGTGCTCCTGTTGAGGGATCGACCGCTGCCCCTGGTGCTCCAGTTGAGGGATCAACTGCTGCCCCTGGAGCTCCTGTTGAGGGATCTACCGCTGCCCCTGGAGCTCCTGTTGAGGGATCTACCGCCGCCCCTGGAGCTCCTGTTGAGGGATCGACCGCTGCCCCTGGTGCTCCAGTTGAGGGATCTACCGCTGCCCCTGGTGCTCCTGTTGAGGGATCTACCGCTGCCCCTGGTGCTCCTGTTGAGGGATCGACTGCTGCCCCTGGTGCTCCTGTTGAGGGATCTACCGCTGCCCCTGGAACTCCTGCTGATCCCGATGTCCCTGCTGGTGGTGCTCCCGGAACTGGTGCTGGTGCTGCCCCTGGAACTCCTGCTGATCCCAATGTCCCCGCTGGTGGTGCTCCTGGATCTGGTGCTGGTGCTGCCCCTGGAACTCCTGCTGATCCCAATGTCCCCGCTGGTGGTGCTCCTGGAACTGGTGCTGGTGTTGCCCCTGGAACTCCTGCTGATCCCAATGTCCCCGCTGGTGGTGCTCCTGGATCTGGTGCTGCTGCTGCCCCTGGAACTCCTGCTGATCCGAATGTCCCCGCTGGTGGTGCTCCTGGATCTGGTGCTGGTGCTGCCCCTGGAACTCCTGCTGATCCCAATGTCCCTGCTGGTGGTGCTCCTGGAACTGGTGCTGGTGCTACCCCTGGAACTCCTGCTGACCCTAATGTCCCCGCTGGTGGTGCTCCTGGATCTGGTGCTGCCCCTGGAACTCCTGCTGATCCCAATGTCCCCGCTGGTGGTGCTCCTGGAACTGGTGCTGGTGTTGCCCCTGGAACTCCTGCTGATCCCAATGTCCCCGCTGGTGGTGCTCCTGGATCTGGTGCTGGTGCTGCCCCTGGAACTCCTGCTGATCCGAATGTCCCCGCTGGTGGTGCTCCTGGATCTGGTGCTGGTGCTGCCCCTGGAACTCCTGCTGATCCCAATGTCCCTGCTGGTGGTGCTCCTGGAACTGGTGCTGGTGCTACCCCTGGAACTCCTGCTGACCCTAATGTCCCCGCTGGTGGTGCTCCTGGATCTGGTGCTGGTGCTGCCCCTGGAACTCCTGCTGATCCCAATGTCCCAGCTGGTGGTGCTCCTGGAACTGGTGCTGGTGTCGCCCCTGGAACTCCTGCTGATCCCAATGTCCCCACTGGTGGTGCTCCTGGATCTGGTGCTGCCCCTGGAACTCCTGCTAATCCCAATGTCCCCGCTGGTGGTGCTCCTGGAACTGGTGCTGGTGCTGCCCCTGGAACTCCTGCCGATCCTAACGCGCCTGCTGGAGTCATTCCATCGATTCCTTCGCTTCCTGTCGGACCAGGCTCTTGGCCTTGGCACAACCGCCCGAACATTCCAAACCTCAACTGGAGGCCCAATCTCCCGGGACAAAATGGCGCCGATGTCGAGGCTGTTGCTCCTGGCAATGGACTGAACAATGGCAATGGAAACGTAAATCCTGTTCCTCCCCATCGTCCACTTCCCTTCTGGCCCAACTGGCAAAACTGGGTTAACAGCTGGCGCACGACTAAGAGGCCAGTGACCGAAGCTCCTGCCCAACCCCAAGAGCCCCAGGTTCCTCAGAACCCCCAGCAGCCCCAAGAGCCTCAGGTTCCCCAGATCCCTGAACAGCCTCAGCAGCCGGGACAGTCGGAGCAGCCGAGCAACAACAGTCCCGAGACCGCTGAGAGCGTAGAGCAGGCTGCCCCAGCTCCACCAGCTTCCAACGAGAACGCCTCCGTTGAGGAGAGCAACAAGGCCTCTGGCGAGAAATCAAAGGATAAGCCCAAGTCCGCCGAAGACCAGTCCAAGGAGAAGGAGCAGGAGCAGAAGAAGCCCAGCTCCGAGGAGAAGGACAAGGACAGCAAGGAGAAGGAGAAATCCAAGGACTCCAAGGAGGACAAGGACACCGATTCGCAGAAGGACAACGAGAGCGAGGACGAGCCGAACTCCAAGGAGCGCAAGCAATACATCAAGGATCTGGTCAAGAAGCTAAAGAAGGGCGATGAGTGCGACGAGGAGGACATCTATCCCGATGTCCGTGACTGCCGCAAGTACTACCGCTGCGAGGTGAAGAAGTCCGGCAAGCACAAGTATGCCCACTTGCGCTGTGACAAGAAGAAGCGCTTCGACTGGCTCGCCCAGGAATGTGTGGACAAGGACGTGGCCCGCTGCCTGGAGAAGTAGGCGGAGGACTAAAACGGGGAATTAAAACTGCTGCTGCATCCGTATGATAATCTCACTCAATCCAAACTGTATTCTCTATATTGGCAATGATATTCTATCCTTAAACCTTGGTCCTACCTAATTTATTGCAATTTATTTTAAATACATATTAAAAATATATATTTTTTTCTTTTTCAAATAAATAAATCTTGAAATTCCTATAAATCTGGCAAATGGAGTGTGTTATTTATGGCTTGCAACTATTTTTTATTCAAATTATTATAACTCTCTTTAACTAATTGCTTGTACATTGCATGCAAAGTGTAGGAAAGAAAGCAGGAGACACATAAAAAAGACTAAAACAATAAGCAATAAGCAATATTCATCTTATTATTATATTATCTTCAAAAAATCTGTCCAAGAGCAATCGCGTCAGAGGAATAATCCTAACTGAACAGTTCTTTGGATTACATTTTCAATGGAGTCTGGCTTGAAGTCATAGAAGATCCTTAAAAATATACAAAAAACCCTTAAAAACTATCATATTTCGCGTCTTTGAACTTGCTTAATGGGTTCTTTGCGCAGCTGTTTCGAGTCTAGCCTAGTCACCACTTCTTTTTTTTTTTCTGGCCGAGATAACCCAACCTTAGTTCCTTCCAATTTGCTGATTATGCCTCCTCCTCTACCTCCTCGAAGGCGCATAATGAGTGAAGAAACTTTGGCAAAGTTTCCGTCGCCGCGCGCTGTGTTTCTTTAAAGCATCTCACTTACACTTGCCAAGTTTTTTTCCTATGTAAATATTTAGTGTAGCATAGAATTTTGAAGTGAAACGTAAACACGAGCAAAAAAGCGTTAAGGGGGAAAGTGCATTGGCTGGCTCCGCGGTGGCCAGAAGGCAGATGGAGCCGCTCCTGCCAGAGTCGGCGGAGTTGGAGTCCAAAGCAGTTCGGATTCGAGGCAAAAGCCAGAGAGATAGAGAGTTGGGGGAGTGAAGCAGAGCAATACACTTAAGTTGATTCGCTGTCATCCATTGCAGCTCATTTATCATTAGACAGAGTCACACAGGACTCCAGGCCTGGCGACAGTTTCAGTGTCGTCTAAGTAGGGAGTGGAGAGAGAGGATCAAGGACGGGGGACATGGGCGCGTCAAGAGTAAGCACAACACTTTGCAGGGAGTGAAAACAGGGAGACCACGACAACGGCCAACGACGACAACGACAACGACGACGAAGTAATTCAATTTTTATCGTGGGTAATTTTGTAACGAGAAACGAAGCAAGCAAATGCACAGGGGCGGGGTTTCTAAGGGGGGGGCTACTCGGCTATATATCTATATATATACATATATATGTATATATAAATGGCAGTCGCTGACCGTACTGATAAGAGCGAGATGGAAATGTTATACAGCCACTGACACGAGCATTTGCGGGCTGACAGCGAAAGCCAGCCAAGGCTTAACCCCCTAACACCCGAGCATTGCCTCCAGGCAATGCAAAAAACCAAAAGCTCATTTTCCACTTAAGGTCTAGACGGTCTTCCTTACCGTATTTTAAAGCTAATAACTAAAAACACTTATAAAACACTGATAGTTATCGAAGGAGTGAAGAAGCTAAGCAGGAACCAGTTGGGAATTCAAAGATATATTTTTTTATATTTCCTTTTAAATTACTAGATATTTTAAAACCATATTTTTTTAAGATTGTTATAAGAGTTTATTGTACAGATTTTGCTCAAAGTTAACTTTTATATGTAATAAAAAAATATTTTAAACCAAAAAATAAACTCTCTTTGGAGGGTTAAGAACATAACAGAATCCACAAGAAGATATCCTGGCACTGGGGGCTGTATGTCGTGACACGGACTGTTGCAACGCAATGTGCGACAATACGTTGAAAATTCAATTTGCCTGATGACTTGCTGTGGTTTAAATACGGCCAAAAAGCGACAGCGCACATTAAACTCATTGCCGCCGTTGTGGCCAAAACGGATAAAAGGCGAAACGGACCGACGACGACGACGACGACAGTCGATGGGCACCATGACTACACCCCAAGAACTCCCACCTATGTCCAGCCAGCTGCACATTATATACTTATGCATACGAGGCAGCAAAAAAAAATGTAAAAAAACGACGAGGAGGTCCACAAAAAAGCACCAGCAGCAGCACAAAAATATAAAAAAATAAAACCAGGCAGCAGCAGCAGAGACAGCAGCGCGCAAAAAGCGTAAACTTTGTTAACTCCATTTGACAACACGGCAGAGTGGAGCAGAGTGCAGAGAGTCCCTGGCCATCCAAGTCCAGCTACCAGCTACCAGCTACGTCCCGAGTCGGGTTGGAAATCCAGGCCGGGATCCAGGCCACATGGACCCACTTGAAGCCCCGGCCGTTGATTGCATTTCATGCGCTTGGAAAATCAATTTTTATTTAATTAATGTGCCTCGTTGCATGCATTACACATATGCCGAGAAGGAGCAGGATAACTCCCATGTAAAGCCCTGGTTTTATATTGCATATATAGGTTGATATATCCATGTGGAAGGAACGAAGTGATCCGAAATGTGGACGTGGCTTAGATTAAGTTATCGGTTTGCTGGAAGAGAGTTACGAATTGGATTCCACATTCTTTTTGAGACATGTCATGTCCAGTCTCTGTTCCTGTTTTATATTTCTCATGGATAAGGTCATGGACTTTTAATGAAGCATTATAGCATAATATTCAAGCAAATCTGGGAAATTTGTCTTGAATTTTAGAAAGAACCTTCTTAGTTATGAACCTCTAAGCCTGCCTTTGAAGTAACTCAATAATTTGCCCACTCGACCAGCATCTTCTTATCGCTGGAAGTCAACTCAAGATATCTCAACTCTGCTCGTTGAGCTACCTTTTTGCTGACTTCTTAAGCGAACAGAAACAGGAGGAGTGTGCCTTGCCATGCCTGCGCCTCGAGCACGGGTCTGGCTTTGGGAATTCAAAGAGGAGAAGCCAGTAACATCAATCAGCGATCCCATCTAAATGCCATCAAATGGCATTTTCCCGCTGCCTGCCTGCCACCTGCAAAGGGAGCACAATGACGCCGCGGGGAGTTTTGGTCGCCAAGCGGTGGGCGTAGATTGTGGGTGTGAGAGAGAGCACACTAACACGGACAACTTGTACTTGTATATATTTAATATTCACATTTCAATTGTTTTTTCCCCTCTTGTTTTCTTTTCTCGTGCGGAGAGGTGACTCCGTATGGTGTGCGGGTGGTTCATTGCGCAATTTATACCTCCAACCCAGGCTCATCCTGCTGCTGCTGCTGCTGCTGCTGCTCCTGCCACCCATCTCAGTTCAGTTGAGTTCGGTTCGGTTTCTCTTTCTGTGAGGATTCCAGGATTCCAAGATTCTGGGATTCTGGCTATCCCCCCCGCCGTTCCCTTTGCCTTTTTATATATAAAATTTTCATAAAGTTTCGTGTTATTAAAAATGGAATATATATTCTTTGCTCTCTTGTGCGCGCGAATACGCAATGGAATATTAATAGCAGGAAAGAGCTTGAATTTTAATCCAAATCTACAAGAGACGAGGAGGAGCCGCATGCCTTTTCGCATTCACATTCCTTGGAGTAACGAAAAAAGAGCGAAAGTCCCTGTCAATGGGAAATCTGTGCATATCTGTGGCTTATACATACGGGTCAACATCCCCACGTTTACACTAGCTGACCAGGCTACCCAGGAACACTGAGAGAAAGTTAAGTTACTTATTCAGATGATTTTGGCTTGAGAAAAAAAGGTATTTCAAGGATTAGAAACAAACCTTGTTTTATATTTTAAGGTTTTTAAATAGCGTTGATTTTGGAAAGGCAGAAATAATAAATTTATCGATACTGTATCAATTATTGATATCGATATATTAATTGATATTTCTATGAACGATATAATGTGATATATATCCAATAAATTTAAATTTTGTGATAATGATACTTAAGTTAAATGCGTTTTTTATCGATATTTAATAATAAAATTTATATAAAAATCTGGATATATAAATTTTTGGTATATTTTTGATAATATATAAATATTTTATGCTCAAGAAAACATATAAATTAATATTTTAATGCGGTGATATATGTAAATGTAATTTTTTGTATGATCTATCGGACCCAGAGACAAATTCAATAAAATGTTTTAAAAATATTGATATTTAAATGTTAACTGCATTATTTATCGGTATTTAATATAATAATAATATTAGTAATATTAAAATTATTCTGAAGAACTTAAAAAATTCTTAATATTAAATAAAATGGATATATCTATGTTTAAAACATCTTAAATATGATATTAAGCTCTACATTTTAATCGATATATATTTTATCGGACTTTTCTCGTAGATACACAACCCCACTTTGATAAGTTTAACTTCTGAGGAGGTACAGTTTACCTATAGACTCTCTGGCTAACTTATTTAAATCTTACAAGAAAGAATTTAATTAGTTTTAACTTCTCTCTCTCTTGAATTTAATAATTCTTTCCTCTCACTTTCGGGGAAACGGAAATGGTATCAGATTTGTTGGTAGTTTCACTTACGTGATCCATTTTATTTTCGAGTGCACACACGCATCCTTTTGGCTGAGAATGAACGTGCCGCGTCAAAGAAAACATCCTCAACGGTTCCAGGGGCGTAGCCATAATAAATCACGAGTTCCGAGGACCGAGGGATTGGGTGGCAAGTGGCGGCCATCCAACCCGTTGACCCAGTAAGCAAACGAGGCTCTGGGTGCCAAAGTTCGCAGCCAGTCAAGCCGAAATGCTGGCAAGGTGTTGTTGCCGCTGTTGCTGTTGCTCGCTCCTGTTCCTGCTGCTCGTCCTGTTCCTGCTCATGCTGATGATGGCAAAGGTAAGCCCAGGGTCCGTTGTGGACGTCGTCGCGGGTAATTGCCTTGAAAGGCCGCTGAAAGCCCTCAAACAAATTATAAATTGCCACCAAAACCAAGGCAGTCGAGGCCCGGCTCAAAAGGAGCTTACAACATTTGACGGCGGGCCGTCGTCGTCGTCGTCTCCTCCTCCTCACCAACTTCAACTCACTCATTACCCCGGCTTCCGACTTGTGTCTTATCTGAGGCTGCTGATCCATCACCTGGCCCAGGCCCGGAGTCCGCCTGGAGTCCTGAATCCTGAATCCCGGTATCCAGAGTTTATGAGGCCGTCGTCGTGAAGCATTTTCTGATTGCGTGTGCATTTTTAATGCCGCCTG